CATACCGAAAAGAGTTGGGAGGTATAATTCATTCTCATACAGGACTGGATATTGAGGCAGTGGTATGTTTAGCACCCATTATTGGATGGGATATGGGGACGACCAGTTAATCGATAACTTGGATATTGGGTCTCACGCATATAGGAGATCCCTATGAACTCCTAGAGATGCTGGTAAGCAAGTAAGAAGGTAAGTTATTATTATTGTTTATTTGAATATTAAATCATAATGTTATTCGGGTTATTGTTTTCATATGTTGATTTTGGAAACTCATAAGAGTAAGTATAAAATAACGGTTATTAAGTGAAACGAATTTATTTAAAAAGAAACAATAACTCCATTGGTTGTTTAATAATTTTTGTCAACTTTTGGTTTTTCATATTGGTGTTAAGCGTAATATTCTTATTGGGGTAGTGTAGTTCATCCCCCTTATTTAACAATTTCATATCAAGAAGAGAAAGATTCAGATCCTGAACAGTAAGAAGGTTATGAATAAAAGCTGCCTCCCAAATCCTATCAAAGTTGCCCAGCAAATGTTAATCCTATAGGATTTTTAGTTACGTTTCGTTTTATTTACTTATTTCGTTATTTAAACATTCTTGAAAAGAATATTTTCGTAACTCTATTAGATATCATGATTTACTGTGTAGGGGATATAAATTCTAAACTCTAAAATTGCTACCGCTTATAGTTACTAAATTTAATATTTCCATATTCATAAATGGTGGGCTTTTACACTGTAACTATTTTAAGGATTAATTTAGATATATTATGAGAACTTAAAGAAACCTAATAACTTCCCTATATATAAATTTGCTAACTTATGAATGATGTCGGCCGAAATACATAAATTTCTGTATTATTATTATTTTTTTTACCTTTTACTTTATTTGTGACGGTGTATAATTTAAGGAACGATTTTCCAACAAAGAAGTTTGTGATTTTGGGGTTCAAAATGACGGGTCTTCTTATCTTTTTTATTTTGTGATAGTAATATTTGTAGTCGCCAGCTTAATCTCTCCAAAATAAGAAACTTAAATTAAAGATTTATATAACAATCTTTTTTTTTTATTTTCAGATAAATAAAGAAAGAAACAGAAAGGATGAGAGTGAAAGAGATGGTCCTCAGACATCAGAGATGATACTCACTGTGATGATAATAATTATTTCGAGCTTCGAGTTCATCTTCTTCATTACTCCTCCTCATGGTAAAACCTGCTATTTAGCGGAGAATTATGTCCTTGATGGGTCTTCTTAAGAAAGAAAAAAGGAGGGTAGGAGGAGATGTTTATTATATGAATTAAATTATTATTTATTGCAAGAATTTGTTGTGATTATTATAAGACTTATATAATCAGACATATATTATATATACTATATGTACTAATAACAATAAATTTAAATATTCCCCTGTACAATTAAAATATTATTAACTGCAATAATTTATGCTAACTATTATTAAACATATTATCAATTTAAACGCACGTTATTAAAATATTATTAATTATTAAATATCTTATAACTAAATATTTTATAGATGATGTATATATTAAACATGCTTATATTTATTAAGTCATATTAAATCAAAAAACAATTAAATTAATTTTATACATATATTATGCTTGTGTTTAATTAATTAGTGAAAATATTAATTTTTTGACGGTGTTTGATGACGATAAGACACCCAACTTTTCGTTTAGTTGAAGCATATAATTAATGTAATTATAGTAAATATATTTGTTCTATTTTTTATTTTTGAATTTCTCAAATATATTATTAAAATTTTTTTTAATAACAATCATAAAAAAAATTTGTCTGCTTAATATATAATACCCGGGTTCGGAATTTGGCTCGAAATTAATTTTAAAAATTAAAAATATACATAAAAATATAATTTTGAAATTGATAAATTTTTCTTTAATGTGAAATTAGGAAAAAAAATAGGTTGAGTATGAAATTGAAATTAATTTTGAAAAAATAGGAGAAAATTTGGGTTCGAATGATATTTTTTAAAGAAAAACAGAAAACTGGAAGTCAAAATACAATTAAAGAAAATTGTGCCATGTATGACCGCTCAGTCAGAGCTTCGACAAACTGGAGTGCGTGGCGTTGCAAGATACTCTGACTTGGTACCACGCGGGATGTCATGCTGGCAATCCGCGTGCCCGCGATCGGACGGTCCGGATGCGTTTCCCCACACGTAGATGGTCCGAATCCGTTCCCTCCTCAAGCGCAATAGAACAGTCATGATTAAATGCGATGAACGGTCTAGATTCGTTTCCTCTCTAATACGATCGGACAGTCGAGATCAAAATTGCGATGAACGGTTTAGATTCATTTTCTCTTTAAACGCGATCGGATAGTCGAAATCAAACGTGATGAACGACCCATATTTAAGCAAGACAGGTATAAATATTTTGTATCACACCGAACCCAAACCCTAATCGCCAGCCTCCCGTTGAAGAAGAAAGTCGCCGCCGCCTGCAGCCGCGCCGAGGCCACCTCTGACTGCCAAAAAAGGTAAAAATTCTCTTATCCACTAAGAATTTGATTTCGAACACCCCCATGGCCAAATAGGAGCAAAAAGAACGGCGGATGAGCCGAAAATCACAGGTAAAATTCGAAATTGCCTCTAATGAGCCCTTTCTCATTTCTCATTTTGTGCGATTTTTCTACAATTGTGTTCACCGTTCTGTTTTCTATAGGTTGACTGAAGAAAAATGCCCAGTCGCGAAGATGAGCAGGTAGAACTGCCGCACCAAAAAATTTTGCCACCGATTAGTTTTTATTTTTTGACTTTTTTCGGCCAACCAAGGTCCCCTAACATGTTTTCTCACAGGGATGAGTATAAAATCGGTTGAAACTGGCCAAAACTGATTAAAAACAGCCAGACTGAGGCAAACTGCCGCCGCAGGTGGCAGTGCCGTCGTCAGAGTACAGTTGTGCCGCCGTGCCAGAATTCTAAAATTGACCATAAAATATTTTTAACACGTATTTTGGGATTTTTTAGGTACTTTGAAGTACATAAAACGTATTTTAATCTCCATAGAAAAATTCAGAAAACCCAAGGACCGTCAATAAGTGTAGTAGAAAGTTCGGTATTTCGGACACCAATTCGGGTAAGAATCCCTTACCTTATTCTTTGTTATGAAATTTAAGCTTAATAATCGACAATATGGTATTTGTGTAATTTAAAAAACTTTGAGAATAATTACAAGTTATCAATAGAGTCAGAAATTAATTGATCATTTATTTGTTGTCCTTTTTAATTGATAGTTGAATTTACAGTTTTAAATATATGATGATATATTAGAATGATTAATTGATTCAATTGTGCTTCCTTGATATATGTATTGTTTGTCTTGCATGATTTGCGGTTGATTTGTAAAATTGGTAATTAAGATGCAAACGAAAAATTGATTAGTCATGTGAATTAATGAATTGTAGCCTTATTAGATATCTTAAGAGATGGTGGACGGACCGGTTACATAAGAAACTCTACCGTGAACGTTGCCTCATACCGGATGGGGTATCAAGAATTGATATTTTTGGCGCTCATACCGGACAGAGTATTGAGAGATAATATTTTTGGCACTCATATCGGATGAGGTATGGGGATGGCCGGTTAGTTGACAATTTTGAATATTAGTTCACACGTGGTGGGATATTCTTATGAGCCATCAGGGATACCAGTATATAAATAAAAAGGAAAAGTTATTGTTCTTATTTACTTAAATTAGAAATTGAAATTATATTTGAATTATTGTCTCTATAAGTTGATTTTAAAAATCTTGTAATGGTAAATATATGCAACAAATGATTTTCTTTATGATAAATGAATTTACTTAAATCAAGAGTTCTATTGGTTGTTTTTATTATTTTTACTAACCTTCAGTTTTTATATTGGTGAGTAGTGTGATATTCTTATTAGGTTAGTATAACTCACATTTTCATTAACTATTTTAGATTAAGAGGACCAAGACCTACATCTCGATCAACAAGAGAGTTGTGAATAGTTCACCATCCGCACTTCCTTCAAAAATTAGTGAAAGTCGTTCTAAAATGCTCAGTATATTACTTTTTATTTTATTTCCTTGATTTTGTTTGTTTTTTTAAAATGATCATTCTCATAAATTTATTAGGTATTTTAAATAATTGTGTAAGGAGTATAAACCCTAAACTCTATTGTTTCACTTCCGCATTTAATTCATAACTTTATTTCCTTTTAAGTTGCGAACCTTTATAGAATATGAATAATACATGCTAATTATTTTTATTTATTATTATTATTATTATTAATTCATGAAATTTTTATTTCACATAAAATTGAAACAATATTAACTACCATATATAATAAATAAAAATATTATATACAATATATATACTAGTAAATATAAATTTAAATTTTCCATAAAAATATGATATAAATTAAGATTTTATTAATTAAAATAATTTATTAAGATAATTATTAAATATGTGATAGTTAAAGAATATATTCGATGTATATATCAATTAAAATTTAACTGTTTTAAAATTGATATACATAAATTACTGAATTAATTATATATTAAAAATATATATTACATTTATTCGAACATATTAATCAAATATATAATTCAAATATACAAATCAGAAAGTAATTAAATTAATTTTATACTGAATCACTTTTAAAAATAATTAATATTTCTCGATACTATATTTTAATGTGATACACAAATTTTAAAATATATATAAGATTTTAAATAAATTTTTTATTATTTTATTTTATTAGACTTTATCTTATTTTTAAACAAATGATTATTATGTATACAAATTCTATATTTACTCTATTTATTTTAATAATCAAATAAAATTTGTTCATTCATTTTTTTAGAATTTTATTATATTATAAAAATTAAATAATATAGCCCACTAACATATAAGTAATTTTTTAAAAAAGTTTATAGCCAATTTTAACAGTAAAAGATAATATAAAACAACACAACCAAATAAAAGTCGCCCACGGTGACATGGCGGAACCAAGAAACTGAAACTGACGTCTACAACACGCGTTGTTATCCTTTGCTCTCATCTCTGCTACGCCATTCAAAAGCCAGGAGCTCCGGCGAATGCTAAATTTAACCAACGCCTGACCAGCAATGCTCTCCCTCATTGCCAAACCAGTTCCATTTTTCTCAGAATCATGGAGAACGAAGAGGCGTTTCACGGCATTAGCCGACAACTTCCCTTCGTTTTTGCCCGAACAAGTAGAGAGAATTAAAGACCCTTTTGCAAGAAAGCTTGCCACAAGAATTGAGAGGCTTCCTGTACATGTAATAATAATCAACTGCTAATTCATTTTTATTCTGTTAATTAATTATTGTATTCTTATTGGCTTATTTGATTAGTCGCTGAAATTATTTGACTGTTTGGATATGTTGTCTAAATTTGTGTAGGATATATGTAAATTATCGTCAGCATATTTCTTTTACAATGGCGTTGGTTTTTTCTTTTTCTTTTGGTCATTTGTTCGCCCGGAGCTCTAGCAAGCAAGCTACTGTAATATGACTCACGGATGTATTTACTTATCAGCTTTAATCAAGATCAAACTGTAATGGTTACCGGGTTAATCCACCATTTTTTCTCAGGTTTCCAAATTTGAAAGTATTTCTGGGCGGCTTATGAGAAATTGTAGTTATGTATAATCGTTGAACTCCTCTATGGGTTAATGCAGGTCAGCTTCTCAGAAAGCAGTATCATGAGCAGCTGTGTGAAGCCATCTGTACAGAGCAACACAAGTCCAGTTGTTCTGCTTCATGGCTTTGACAGGTCCTTAATAACTCATTATAGATGATGGTTTTGAAAATTCTGTATGTGTGTTAGAGTTTGAACTATGTCTTATTATTCAGTTCCTGTTTAGAATGGAGATACACATATCCACTTCTTGAGGAGGCTGGTCTGGAGACTTGGGCTTTTGACATTCTTGGTTGGGGATTTTCTGACTTGGGTCTGTTTTTTTAGCTCTGAGCTATACTTCTCTCATCCAAAATTCAACTCGGCCATTGATTTATTGTTTTCCATTATTTACATTTAATTTATTTCTCTTCTTCTCTTGTACTTGATAGAAAGACTTCCACCATGTGATGTGGCATCTAAGCGTGAGCATTTTTATCAGGTATTGCACCTATCTGAAGAATTTCTCCTGTCATTATCATGTGTGCAAAGGTAAGCCTTCGACATGCCTCATTGGGTGAAGAGGAGTTTTAAAATATCACAGAGCAGACATCTAAAGGAGTATATTATGGCTTATGTGCTCACCAAGTCTTTTATAAGCTTCATAGGGCTCTTCTATTAGTTATGGAGTTGAAATTTTTTTTTCCTTCCTTATCAAATTATCAAAGCTGAGAGATTAATTAAGGTGATAGTCGAGCTTCCTTAGTGTACATCAGCCATAATGGGCATAGAAAAGCTATACCAGCTTTTATGATGCGCCTTTTTCGTAAAACATTTCAATTGCTTCTTTGACATTATGTTGGCCAGATTTTTATCGTACTTTTATGGTGTCATATGATCAACAGTTTTGGAAGTCGTACATTAGAAGCCCCATGATCTTGGTTGGACCCAGCCTTGGTGCTGCAGTTGCAATAGACTTTGCAGTTAATCATCCAGAAGCTGTAAGTATAATGAAGCTCTTGATCCATTTAAGTTGCTAAAATAAAGGTCTTCAAGACTTATGAAATAACTTCCAATTTTCTTCTCTGGTTGCAAATCTCATTTGACTTACAGCTTTCACTTTGTTTTCAGGTGCAAAGTCTGGTTCTTATTGATGCAAGTGTTTATGCAGAAGGCACGGGAAACCTAGCAAAGTTACCGAAAACTGCAGCTTATGCCGGGGTAAGTCTTCTCAATGTATAAAATTTTAAGGCAAGTATACAGCTGTTAACTGAGCATGAATCACCTGGGGAGCCTTGGAGCTAGCTAGCATAAAAATTTGAGAACTATTTCTGAATCAGGTGTATATATTGAAGAGTATCCCACTCCGCTTGTATGCAAATTTTTTGTGCTTCAAAAATATTTCTTTAGATACAAGCTTGGACTGGACAAATGTGAGTATCTTCTTGCCACTGTTACCTAATCAATTGATCCAGTTCCATGACATACTAATTGTTTTTTTGTAACCGCATTTAGGTGGGCCGCTTGCACTGTCTATATCCTTGGTGGGATGATGCCATTGTAGATTTTATGACCACTGGTGGCTATAGTGTCACTGCTCAAATAGAACAGGTTTGTGCATTATTATTTTTCTGTTTATTTAAATATCATCTTGGCAGCCATCAATTTGCATGTAACATATTATCAGTGCTTGTACTAATCCACTAAATGTTTATCAGAGGCATAAGGCAGTAGTAAGTAGTTAGCTGTTAAGAGCTAGCCCAAATGGAGGTGAAAACAATGAATATTTGAATTATTTGTCGGCCTTTTATTTTGTCTGCTGTTATGATTTTCAATACTAAAGAATATTTTCTGTTATTTTAGGCAGTACTAGAATACGATGATAACAGCTATAAAAGTTAAAAATATATACTAGAAGGGCATCAGTCTATGCAGGTGTAGGTTGTAACCTGCAGAAAATATAAAAAAGGAATATTTTTATCAGCTATTCCCTTACTTTTATTCTCCCTATTCTCTCTGTCTCCTCGTTTCTCTTCTTCTTCTTCTTCTTCAACTTCTCTCCTAAGTTACCTTCTCATTCTGATTTTCCCTCTCAAACTAACTGCGCATGTTTAAGGTTCCTAACAAAATTTGTATCAGAGCTAAAGGAACCTGCAGAGATCATTTCGTCCACAGGTCAGATGGCCAAAACAAGGGAAAGTCCACCATAACTGATGCCTCAGGATTGCTCAGATGGAGGACTCACTCCATGGCATGGAGCAGAGAATCAAGAACTTCATGAGTGAAATCTATTAGTCCATGGATGCCAAGCTTAAGGCTAAGCTAGGTGCCAAGTAGGTTGCAAACAATGGCCAACTATAGCTCATTGTAGCTGACACAATTAGCTCCATGATGGCCACCCCTAAGCTCCACTTGCCGGAGTTTGATACCAATCCCCCCTCCAAACCAACAAACACCTCAAGCTCTAACCTTTTCCTACTCCCAGGTGTCCCAAGGCCTCTTACCCACTCCAGGAGTAAAAGAAAAAAGAGGGAACCACTTCCCAACTTCCTTGTCCAATTCCTTGGGGGTAAACACAGCAAGGATCAACATTCTATGTTTGAAGGAAGTAACCCTAGGGTTTGAGTGAGAAAATGCAAGAAGGATCTCCCAGGTCTATGGAGTTTCCAGTGATCGGAAAATGGAGGAAGTCACCCTGTTTTCTGCAGGGAAAGCAGATACTCGGTTTCAAGGGTGGTGAGCACAGCATGAGACATGAATTGGAAGGTCTTTGAAGAAGAACTTTGTAGGAAATTCAGAGACCTCATAGTAGTTGATAGTGGATGAGTTCAACAAACTGAAGCAAGAGAATTCCTTGATGGAGTACCAAGAGAGGTTTGAAGAGCTAAGGCCAATAATGTTAAGAGAAAATCCTCACTTCAATGAATATTACTTCATATCTTACTTCATTAGTGGCCTAAACGAAGAGCTAAAACCCATGATCAAGCTTTTTAAACCACAAAATCTAAATATGGCATAAGAACAAGCTCAACTCCAATCTCAGCATATTGATGCCATATTATGTTGCCAAAAGAACAACCCTCCTGCTGTCAGCACCAAGCCACCCTATAATGACCAAACACTGCACAAGGAACCAACCAGTCCCCTGCCACCAATAAGTTCCAAAATCAGACCAGTGATGGTGGGTTCATTGACAGCAAGAGACCACCAAATCCTTGCTATAGATGCAGCAAGCCCTACTTTCCAGGCCACCAGTGTAAAAGCAAACAACTATAGATGATGGAGATAATGGAGAATTAGGAAGAAGAGATTAAAACAGAAGAAGAAAATGCAAGGGACGATTACCAAACTTAAACCTTGAGGACAAGGTTTTTCGAAGGAAAGAGAAATGTTAAGGACTAGGCCAAATGGAGGGGAGAGTAATGATTATTTGACTTATTTGTCTGTTTTTTATTTCGTTTACTGTCATGATTTTCTGTTATTTAGGACAGTACTAAGATATGATGATGACAATTGTAGAAGTTAGGAACCTGCTAGAAGGGCATCAGCCTATATATATATGAGTTAAAACTTGCAGAGGATATGAAAGAATATTAGTATCCGCTATTTCTTCCTTTTATTCTCTCTATTCTCTCTTATCTCCTTATTTCTCTTCTTCTTCTTTTTCAACTTCTCCTTTAAGTTACTGTGTAACGACCCCGAAAATTTTCAAAGGAAACAAATTATAAATTTAGTGCAAAAACGAAATAAATATTTATAGTTTATATTTCTTATACAATAACTGAAAGTATTAAATAGGGATTACGAGAATAACCTTTTTATAAGAACAACTAATAACCAAGAAAATAAATTAAAAGTAAATAATTGAACATTCTACTTGCATTTCTCTTATGGATCGGGTTCTGAATCCTGATCTTTTTGATATGAAATGGTTAATAAAAGAATGAACTATACTAACCCAGTAATAATATCATACTACTCACCGACGTAGAAATAAAGGTTGGTAAAAATCATAAAAACAACTAATGGAGCTCTTAATTAAGCAAAATTGTTAATTATAAATAAAATCATTTACCGTCTACTTATCATAACGAGATTTACAAAAACAATCTATAGAGGCAATAACATAGCACATTATAATTTCATATGCAATCGATTGGAATAACAATTTTCTCTTTTATCAGCCTACTGGTATTCATGGGGGTCCATAGAGATGTCCCCATAACGTGTGAAATCTTTCCTTTAACATTTCAAATTAACGGGCCGTTCTCATATCCCATTCGGTATAAGTGCCAAATTACTAAATGTCAATACCCCGTCCGGTATGAGGGGTGAAACGGGTCGTTCCCATACCCTATCTGGTATGAGTACTAAATTACAAAATCTCGATATTCCGTCCGGTATGAGACAACGTTCACGGTGGGGTTCCCTATGTACCCAAATCCGCCCACCATTTCTCATGATATCCAATAAGATTGCTGTTTCATCCACTAAATTAATTAAACAGTTTTCCAACTTCCTTTAATTTCCAGCTTCTCAACTCAACCATAATCACATGAAGCAAACAATACATGCATTTAGACTATAAGATCAATTAATTAGATATTATCATGCATTCAAACTGTAAAATAAATCAATAGAGTTGACAGTGAATAATTTCCATTTTTGGTTCCATTAGTGACCTATAATTAATCATGAGTATTTTCTAAACTGCCCAAAACACTATATTATTATTAATTAGAGTTCAATTCTATAACAGAGAATAAGATGAGGAATTCTTATTAAATTGATGCCCGAAGTGCTAAATTTGTTGATTGCGCCTACTGCCGGTCCCCGGGTTCTCTAAATTTTCTTTCGGGGATTAAAACGTACTTTAAGTACCTAAAAATATCTCAAAAAACCCAAAATTAGTGTTAGGACCCCTTTTTGGCCAATTCTGGTATTCTGGCACAGCGGCTCCGTCA